AACGGCTATTGTTTTAAATATTATCTTAAGGGTTCACTAACGTTTAAGGAGACACAGTGGAGTAATGGATTGAGGCTCGGATTGAGGAATTAGAGAGCTGAGTTCGAATTTCTGTTTAATCCATTACATTTACTTACGTTGGGAAAGGTATGAATCCTCTTCTTCTCCCCCCCGCCCCAGCTATGGGTTAAATAGCAGGACAGACCGGGTTCTGCAGCCTTGGATGGCAACTGGTCTACCGTAGAAAGATATAGCAACCTACCGTGGAAAAAAACCTGCCTCGTCAGTCATGTATCGAAAGATACATGATCGCCTAAGCGTGTATCACGCATGGATCATAACTGACTGAACTTTTTCGCAGAACTCTATGTGTCCGTTTAAAGGGTAATTTTATTTTTACTTATCAGTACATATCATTTAGCTTCCCGCCTATCTGATTACACATTAGCAAGCTATTAGGTTGGTGAAAAAATAATGACGTAATAATGTATTTTGACGTTAAAAATACGTCAAAAAACGACATTATTACGTCATTATTTTTGCACCAACCTAATATTAACGCCATTTTGAAATATATGTATTCCGTCCCATTAATTTACCAAAATATCTCGTCTCCGGCTTCCTACAATGAGAAATAGAAAAGCTCTCTCCTGTAACTGCCTGAACTTCTTAAATACGCCATGTCCCTTCGGAACGTAGGTGACTATGGTTAACCAAATATTCCTTTTCTTTCTGTAAATTGCTGTACCTTCTACGGAAGGATAATGGAGCCCTTTCTTGTTGCCTTCTACAGTCAAATATGCCTATGTTTGTGATGTGCATAAAAAAATCTATAATACGCATACAATCACAGATAGATAGATAGATTTCAGGCAATATATGTTCAGTTTAAATATTGTGTGATTATGTGTACGTGTGGATGTGTGAGTAGCGTAAAAGTTATCGGAGCTGAAACTGAAATCGATGTGTATGTTGAAATTCTGTCTGCATCTCTTCTTTCACTTCTCACTACTTCTTTCACTTAACCTTACAATTAATCCATCTTACTCCAGTTATGGATTAAATAGTAAATAACACTGTGACCTCTTGGGTAGCAACATATCAAGAAAAGGAAAACCCTGTATATAAATCCACAATACCTTTGTGAATATTTTCAAGGGAAGTGAAGGTTAAGGAATAAATCCTAAACAATTCCAAAGATGGAGTCTTTGAGTCAGTTAAATTGACCAAATAACCGGGAATACAGGGATCTCTTGAATGGCAACCAATCTAAAAGAAGGAAGCCTCTGAATTCAAACCTACACTGCTTTTATGGGTATTTCCGGAAGAAGCGAAGGTTAAGCAGTAATCCCTACACATATCCCGAGATGGGACGCCTAAGTCAGCTCCAATTAGGGATATATGCTATACTGTGCCACTTTCCACGGAATCAGACTGTAGTTTCTCCTACAAAGGGAGACGCGGGTTCAAACCCTATCGGAGAGCACCTTATCTTTTTTTTTTTAATCTCTCGAATTCTATAGACCTAATTCACAATGTTTAAAAGAAAAACAACAAAAAAGAATAGGGCATCTACTAAAATATGGATATGCCTTAAAGATACCTTTAGGCCCAAATTCACCTGACATAAGGCGACCAATGGAGAATGGAAAGTGATTGAGTTAAATTCCCGCGATCAAGATACCCACTTGGAGCAAAACACCCAAATTCCCTCGAAGTTCCAACAGGAACAACTGCTCTGGAGAAACAATCTCCCAAGTGGATGTTTTGATCATTATATTCTTAGTCTTGAGTTAATCGTTATCAATCCGTATAAACTGTTAACACATTCATCCATTAAGGCGGTCACGTCACGGTATATATATATATATATATATATATATATATATATATATATACCCCGTGTGAAACTGTGTGTGTATTTCTGAGATGAGGTATTATGTACATTATTTACATTATTCGGACTATTGTCCTCATTTTTTGTCATATTTATCTACAACGTTTCGGCCGTTGTACGCTCGGCATTCTTCAGGTGGTTCGAAATAATCACCGGTTCAGTTCCACGTGCCATGTTTGATGGTTGTTGTTGTCAATCCAATTTCCTGAAGAAGGCCGGAGCGTGGATAAAAACGTGGTTAATTCCAAAGTGTGTGAAATGGTTAAGTGATTTCAAATATAACTGACATCCATAAAACATGGCACGAACAAACTGAAATAAAGGGTTCAGTTCGACAATAGTCCGAATAATTTAAATATATATATATATATATATATATATATATATATATATATATATATATACACGTATATGTAAGTAATAATAGTACAGCATTAGTATTTAAATAAGTGAATAAGTATTAAACATTTTTTTTCAAATAATTCGTTTCACTATTCTTCACGTATGTTATTTTAAATACTTTGTTTTAATATTTGTTTTATAAAAGTATTTTAATTTTTTTCTTTATTTAACTTTTTAAAATTTTCCTTCAGTATATAATTGTATTTAAAATTCTTTGTTTAATTCAAAATTTAAATGTATACCCTTTAAAAATTTTGCTAAGTGGACCGTGATATTTTCATTTGCTCTTAGGTGTGTCGTTGCTAAAAAAATGTTGACAAACACTGCCTTAACGTAACCCACTACCTCGAGTGACCCCCGAGCCTTATATAGGGTGAACCTTACTATAAAAAAAAAACACAAAATAACATTTCGAACAGTTGGCAACATATATATATATATATATATATATATATATATATAGAGAGAGAGAGAGAGAGAGAGAGAGGGGGTAAGAGAAAGAGAGAGAGAGAAAAAGAGAAAGAAAGAGAGAGAGGCAATGGACAGACATAAAGGTTGTTTTTTCTATACAAATTCTTGTACGTCTTATTACTCGCCTATTTTCACATCATTTTATCTCTACGTTAATTCATAACTCCTGTTGATTTGTCACGGTGACCTTACCGCCCAGTTGACATCAAGTGTGTCGTGCGGGTTGCGTTTGTTTGGTAAAGCTTACAACGAAATACGCAAGTTGTTGCGCTGTGTTAACAAATTGGAACTTCAGTGCAATGCGGAAGAATCATGAGTATTCTGGAAGTTCTTTCCCGGAAATTCTACTTGCACATGGCATTTTTTGCCGTTCATATATAGATATAACGATAAGTATTTATATGTTGGAGGCACGGTAGGTTTTTAAAAATACGCGGACCTACAGACTGCACAAAAATCACAAGATCATGTTGCGCCATTTCATTTTTCCAGATTGAGTCAGTATGCTTGCCATGAAAATCTGCATTCAAAAAACTAAAACCTGACCTTGAACACCAGACTCCTGAGTCAAGCAACTAATTTACAAATAGATAGATAGATAGATAGATAGATAGATAGATAGATAGATAGATAGATAGATAGAAATGGACGGGTTGATAGATAGATAGATAGATAGATAGATAGATAGATAGATAGATAGAAAGATATATAGATAATAAACAGAAAGATATAGATTGAAAAGAAAGAAAGAAAGAAAGAAAGAAAGAAAGAAAGAAAGAAATGAACGGGTTGATAGATAGATAGATAGATAGATAGATAGATAGATAGATAGATAGATAGATAGATAGATAGATAGATAGAAATGGACGGGTTGATAGATAGATAGATAGATAGATAGATAGATAGATAGATAGATAGATAGATAGATAGATAGATAGATAATGAACAGAAAGATATAGATTGATAAACAGAACGAGAAAGAAAGAAAGAAAGAAAGAAAGAAAGAAAGAAAGAAAGAAAGAAAGAAAGAAATGAACGGGTTGATAGATAGATAGATAGATAGATAGATAGATAGATAGATAGATAGATAATTTAGTGTAACATAAGCGCAATAGAAAGCATCAGATTAAAACTACGGGCATTTATTGGTTATTGAATTTTGGAAAGGAAGAAAGAAAGAAAGAAATTTTTTGCTAAAAGTGGAATGAGAAAATGTGTTTATTTATATGAACGTTTATCCAAATAATCTTGTTGAATTTCAAATATTTATTCAATTGATCCATACTGCATCCAAACTGTTATCTTTTTTTTTTCCAAGTCTGTCAAATAAATAAGCACGAACATTCGCCAAAAGTTCACATACTTTCCTTAAATATAATCCACAAACCAGAAATTCGAAAACGGCGTATATTTGTAGAATTCATGTCACAGACGCAGTAGTGCACATTACAACCAATAGAGAAGCGTAGTATGACTTAGAAGTATTACTATTAGTAAACAAATTGCAGCTATTCCAATCGAATTACTAAGTTCAATAAAGAGATTAGATGTACTTTTTGTTTACGTGAAAAACGCGATATAATTTCATAAAATTATTCGATTTTTTTCTGCCGCTTAAATAAAAGAGAAAGACTTAACAATTTCAAAGAATTAATTAGATAATAAAGATAATTACAGTATTTCCTAGTTCATGAAAATAAAGAACTCGTACAGAATTATTTCATAAATGAAATCTATAATTAAGTGACGATGGCGCACAGAGCAGATACTAGAGAAGGCAGCCGACGAAGAGAGCAAAATCATTAAGCAATTCAAAAGACTTTTACGAAGAATCTATGCACAACATAACGAATGGCACTGCAGTCTGTTTAACATAATGCACGGAGATAATTAAATCAAAATTTTGATTTCTCCTGAACATCTATTTTGGCTGTCAGGTTGTTTTTATTTTGAAATTTACTTGACATACTTGAATGAACTTAAATGAATAACTTTCGTTAGGCGACCAAGCGCCAGATGCGGTCAGTTAATTTCACAGATTATCTATTTTAAAATATATTTTTTAATATATATATATATTATATATATGTATGTATGTGTATGCGTTAGCATGCGTATATGTGTGCGTGTGTGTGCGCGCACGCGCAGGCGAAAGTCTTGAAGCTCTTTATTTTCACAGGTAAAATAACGTTTGGCTAAACTATTTTTCTACCTCGAAGAGATGCTACTTTCATGGACATGGACGCACTGAGATAGATAGATAGATAGATAGATAGATAGATAGATAGATAGATAGATAGATAGATAGATGATAATGGCTGCGATACAGGAACACAAACGGAGGTATTATATAGATAGAATATGAACAGAATGAGCTCGAGAAAGAAAGAAAGAAAGAAAGAAAGAAAGAAAGAAAGAAAGAAAGAAAGAAAGAAAAAAAAAGAAAGAAAAAAAACGTCTGCGATACAGGGACACAAACGGAGGTATATAGATATATGAATATGAACAGGATGAGCTCGAGCGATGCATTTAGATAGATAGATAGATAGATAGATAGATAGATAGATAGATAGATAGATACATATGAACTGGCAGAGATAGATAGATAGATAGATAGATAGATAGATAGATAGATAGATAGATAGATAGATAGATAGATAGATAGATTACTTTTATTCAATCTAAATACTGATATTTAAAATATTGTCAGACATCACGTGTCCTATCCATTCCAAAATGTACGACGCAGTAAAAATGATTTTTTCTTTGTATCCCAATTTCATGGCTTCTATTGAGACTTTTACATGTATACAGACCAAAGTCCATTTGTCTGTGTGTACGTGTGTGTACGTATGTGTGGCACTCATTGATTCCCCATATTTTCATTCATGTGTGCCTCTATGTGTGCGTGAGCATGTTTGAGTGGGTATAGAAAGCGAAAGTGTCGTCATGGCGAAAGTGTTTTTATTGTATGTCTGTTATTGTGCGCTCGTGTTTAGTGCGCCCATACATATTGTGTGTATGGGGGGGGGCTGCATGTGTGTGCGAAATCTTTTTATCCCACACAGTCATTTACGTTCCGAAAATATCTAATACTGAACTGAAACTCCGTCCGAAACTCCATGTTTTGTAAACACTAGCTTGACCACGATGAAAAACGCTTAATGCCGTGTTTGTAAATATATATACTATGCAAACCACTCAAATGTAGGCAACACTGAAATAATCCCGGGCCCTGTCTCAAAGATTAATATAGTTTATTTTAATCTAACCAGGAACGGTTAATTACGAAAGATGTGCCCACACAAAAATAGCCTTAATGCAGATTTGTTTTATAAAATGTTATAGTTGGAGGAACGTAAGAAAATTTCCTGGTTGTCGTTAGATATAAAATTCGAATTATAATCAGAAAGCAACAGGTTAAAAGGTTTAGTGTCATGGAAAGAAAGCTTGGAGAATTTGATACACACAAGAGGTAGCGAAGGTTTGATAGGCAGGGAAAGATAAAAAAAAAAAAAGAGATCGTAAGGAAAAAAGTATTACTTAAAGTTACAAAAGAGAAGCTGTATAGAGCCATACTTGCTGTGTCCTGTATATATATATATATATATATATATATATATATATATATATATATATATATATATATATATATATATATATATATATAAAGATTGTAGTCCAAGAGGGATAATAGCTTAGGAAAATAACAGCTCTGAATTCAAAACAGTAACGATTGTTTATGATCTCACAACTCCCAGCAATGCTTGGTCGTTTGATTTTATTTAGCGACATATCAACACCTCTATGGGTTATTTAATGACAAAATCTAAATATTTTGAACACAATTTTATGGCTTCAACTAAATATATATTTTACTATAAAAATGTATTGGTGATCATTTTACTATGAAAATGTATTGTTGATTATTTTACTACAAAAATATTCTGTTGATCATTTTACTATAAAAATGTATTGTTGATCATTTTACTATAAAATGTATTGTTGATTATTTTACTATAAAATGTATTACTGATTATTTGATTATTTTACTATAAAAATGTATTATTGATCATTTTACTATAAAAATATATTGTTGATCATTTTACTATAAAAATGTATTGTTGATCATTTTACTATAAAATATATCGTTGATCATTTTACTATAAAAATATATTGTTGATTATTTTACTACAAATAAGTATTGTTGGTAATTTTAATACATGTATTATTGGTAATTCTTTTATATAAAAATGTATTGTTGGTATTTTAACAATATTTAATAGATTTTTATACTTTCATAATGTTTTTGTTAGGAGGTTCACTATTTTCCCATAGCTGGGACCCTAACAGGTGCTACCACTCCGGGTCAGGATGGACCTGGGAACAACAGCAGTTAAGAGGTGGTTCTACGCTTCTCAAAACCTCCAATCAGCTGATAAGATGCCTTGCCCTCAGCAATGAGGATGGGCAGTTGAAAAAAAAAGACAAGCAGAATGGCAAACAGCAAAATGGCAAACAGCAAAATAACAATCGACGAATTTAAAAGACTAATGTGATTATAAACATAATGTCATTTTTTGCTGCATGACTTAAGACCAAAATTTTATTGTTTTTTAGTTTGGCACAAGATGAAAAATGTCATTGATCTCGTCCAAAACCGTATAAATTACAGTAGTCAGAGGATATTTAATTTTGTTTATTTTAATATCTGTTTTAACAGAGGACGAAAAACGCGACGCCGAAATCTTATGGATATAGCGGAAAGATGCCTTTCAAAGAATAAGCAAAGTATTAAGAAACGGAAAAATGTCGTTAAAGACAACGAAAAGAGTAGTGAACTGTTATAAAATACAGCTCCTCCTATATGGCAGCGAATGATGGACAATCTATTCACAGACCAAGTAGATACTTCGGGCAGCAGAAATATGATTCTACAGAAGGACACCACAGACTGAACACGTGTGCAACGACGAAGTTTTAGAGCTAATGGAAATAAAAGGAACATTTATACTTAGATTCAGAAAGAAACAATTGTAATTTCTGGGGCACATAATAAGGAAAGAGGGCTTGGAAAAGTAACACTCACAGGACCTGTTGAAGGCAAGAGGGACTGAGAAAAGCAACGAATAACTTACCTAATGAGCTGGTGTAAATGGTTAGCTCAAACAGGGATTAGGAGAGATAGTGAAAAAAACAAACATTGTTAAGAACTACAAGGAAGAGGAATTCTTGAAGAAACATGGTCGCTCACGTCCTGAAGGGACATGACAAAAAGAAGAATAAGCAAGAGGATCTATGACTACCTGTATAACCCCTACTTAATGACTAAGCACCCAGTTTAGTATAGCCTATCAGAGGACCGCATTATTAGTCTAATCTAGTAAAACTGCATGTCAAAACAGTATCGAGAGGCCTTCAGAGATAATCTTGCTCATCGTGCGCTTGGCTTTCTGATTATTAATCTCAAACTGGTCTTGCACAAGGTTACCGTTTTTAACTACAAAGCAATTATCGAATTCGATTCAAAACAGTAAGCTAGATTCGAAAAGATATGGCTTCTTTGCATATTTGATTTGCTTTGGGATTTATACATTTTTACCAAATTATATTGTCCCTTTAAATGATCATTTGATCAATTTTGCCAAAAATAAGCTGAGATCTTACTAAATTAAAAATCATATTTAACTCTTATTTCATAGTAATTCTATTTAGCCAGATTCAAGCCCATAATCCTCTCCAAGTGACAGGAGTAACTTATTGAATGACAGTGACCATCGCAATCTATATAATTTCCAGTTTATCAGAATATTTTGTTGAATGTTTAATACATTAAACATTGAAAGCTAATAATAATAATAATAATTGTCATGACGCTACATGATATATTTATTCTGATCTTAATTGATTGATGTTATTATCATGTACAAGTTTTGTTTTAGTGAATTAAGATAGGTGACAGTAAATATATTGCCACAGTTTATTGACTGGCCTTAACGAGTTGGGCGTAACTCCTCGTGGCTTACGCACTGTGCACCTATGTCTATGAGCAGAAGTAGTGTGGGATCATCATGGCCGAATGTCAAGAGATTTCTTTTTTTTTTTAGTTTGAATGATGAGGCAGCTAAAGCGACTTAGGAATCTAGATAGCTGGGAATACCCTCAATTTTAGTGGGCAGTTTAACGAATCTGAAGATATTTCTAATTGGGCTCTATTTGCAAGGTTTATTTATCAAGACATGTCAACATATTGCGCAAATCTGATTATGATGCATTGGCCTAGCATATCCTAATCAGACTGGGTGTCATGACAGGGTATCTTGGGATTCGTATATTTGCTCCCCAGCGTAACTTTCTTGGTATATTGCTCTCTGAAATAATAATAATAATAATAATAATAATAATAATAATAATAATAATAATAATAGAACATCAACAATCTCTGTTGTGGTTGGAGCCCTCGGATTGATTGAGAAAGATTCCAGTAGACTCATTGAAGAGATTCCTGGTAGTCCATGCATTAAATAAATACAAAAAAATTGTTCTCACGTGCACAGCCCACAATTTATGAGGGAATTTATCTATGTAAAATGTTTATTTGTTGTTGTTTTTTTTGTTTGTTTTTTTTATTTCTTCGTGGAATATGTCATGTTGCCATTTCTGACCCTAGGTCTCTGGACGGGACCCGGATAGAAATGCGTACACACCAGAAATCAAAAGAAATAAAATAATAATAATAATAATAATAATACACCGACTGAAGCTGCAAAATACATAAAAAAGAAAGCAAAAACAAATGCAACCGACCAGATACAGAAACAATGGCAAGATAAGCCGCTTCCTGGCCAATACTCTGCCCGAACCAAACAAGTTGATGTAGCCCCATACCCATCATTTGCTACGTAGTGCAGGGTTAAAAGCTGAAACGGAAGCTTTTATCCTTGCTGCACAGGATCAGTGCTTGTTAACTATAAATTATCAAGCACGTATACTAAAATATAGTGTTATCCCAAAATGCAGGTTCTGTGATAATTACCCAGAAACAATCAATCATCTTGTATCAGGTTGCACGGTATTGTCACCCACAGAATATAAAACCCGGCATGACAGAGTTGGCCAATATCTACGTTGGAAAATCTGTAACTTCTACAGGAAGAAAACTGAAATAAAGGGGTATAAACACCACCCAGACCCGGTTACGGAGATAGGACCTGTTACAATTTTGTCGGACTACACAATACACACAGACAAAACAATCAAAGGTAACCGCCCAGACATTGTTATTAGAGATCGCAAACAAAAAAGTGCCTCCTTATTGATATGGCAGTACCTGCAGACTGCAATGTATCTTTGAAGATCTTCAAAAAGCTATCAAAATACAAGGACCATGAAATCGAAATCTCAAAAATGTGACACATGGAAACATCAAAAATCCCGATGTAGTTGGAGCTCTCAGATTAATTCCAGTAGACTAATTTAAGGGATTCCTGGAAGCCCGTGCATTAAAGAAATACAAAAACATTTTTCTCACGAGTACAGCCCACACATTACGAAGGGTTTTTGGTGGGGGGGTCAGTGTCATGATGCCATCTCTAACCTTAGGTCCCTGGACGGGACCCGGAAAGAAATAAGTACACACCAGAAATCAAAAGAAATAATAATAATAATAATAATAATGATAATAATAATAATAATAATAATAATAATAATAATAATAATAATAATGAAAAATACTCAAAGTTTTTGGATGAACCAGGAATCGATGTTCGCCAAACCTATCAAGCAGTAGAAGTGGTAAACAGAAAGTTTTATTATGGCAGAAGAAGACCAGCAACCAATGCTTATAAGGCTAAAATCAAGAGACATGGTTCAAATGCCGCCTGTCGCTTATGCCATAAATTTAATGAAACTATTGACCACATAGTGTCAGGAAGCCCAGTCTTTGTTGAGAAAGAATATATTGACAGGCTAGGAGAATATGTTTATTGGTATATCTATTCGAAGTATGGTATTGAAGTCCCGGATCCATGGTACAAACACCATCCGAATGATGTGACAAATGGGGATGGAGAGACTATACTGTAGAATTTCCCAATCCCTACAGACAGGAAAATTGATGCAAATAGACTAGACATAGTCATAAAAGATTAAAAAAAAAAAAGTACTTGCCAACTAACTGATCTGACTTTGCTCACAGGATTCCAATGTTTCTCAAAAAGACTTTCAAACACTGTTAAATTATAAGGACCTACAAATCGAAGTAACAGAAATGTGAAAACTTAAAAAATTTTCCCCGTCGTGATACACACAGATATACACAGGGAAAGAGCTAGCTAGCTAGATAGATAGCTAGCTAGCTAGCTAGATAGATAGATAGATAGATAGATAGAATCATGTTGCATATAAGTTTCTAATGTAAATCGGTTTATCACTATGACTTTGGTTAGATGCCCGAGTTTTATGAAGAAGCTGTGCTTGTATATATATATATATATATATATATATATATATATATATAGATAGATAGATAGATAGATAGATAGATAGATATAGATAATATTAGGAAAATATACATACATATGAAAAATATATCTAAAAAAAAATTCCCATACATGTATATTTTCAGAAAAAAATTTTTCCAAGAGGAAGGATCCAGGTAGAAGTCAATGTCTAGGACAGAGTAAGGATATAATAAAAAGCTTAAACACTAATATTCCATGGTCATAATTTATTCCATTGGAATCGTAAATACGATCAAATCATCAGACCTACAAATTCAAAATGAAAACAGAAAAACAACTCCGGAAATCAAAAACGAATTTAGAGAAAGAGTAAGTATGAGGAGGAGGACAGAGAGAATTTATTATATATATATATATACAAGCACTTTGGTTAGATGCCCGAGTTTTATGAAGAAGTTGTGCTTGTATATATATATATATATATATATATATATATATATATATATATATATATATATATATATGTATGTATGTATATATGTATGTGTGTGTGTGTGATTAAAATATTGTTTTAATATATGCTATATTTATAGGTAAAAGGCTTCAATATCGTGAGATATGGCGTATGTAAATAATATAATGATGACCTGAAGATTGCGTTCAAGCATAAAAGAGACTGTCGCCGCAAATTGTTCACCTCAGTGTCCACTTTCATATGCATGTATGTATGTATGTATGTATGTATGTATGTATAGATAGATAGATAGATAGATAGATAGATAGATAGATAGATAGATAGATAATTGCATTGCTTAGCATATTTCAATATTTATGAGGTAAGAGTGCATAGTATCGAGGATAGAGCGTATGTGGATAGTACGGGCTTAGAAATCAATATTGAATATTGACTGGTACACCTTAAGCGAGCATCAGACCACACACACACACACACAGATAGATAGATAGATAGATAGATAGATAGATAGATAGATAGATAGATAGATAGATAGAAGAACTGACTGATTAGATAGATAGATAGATAGATAGATAGATAGATAGATAGATAGATAGATAATATGGATTTCATTTCAATAAAAACTTAATATTTTATACACATTGGAATAACATACAGACGCAGATAGAACGAGAGATTGAGATAGATAGATAGATAGATAGATAGATAGATAGATAGATAGATAGATAGATAGATAGATCGATAGATAATCAT